CAATATTTGTCTTTATATTTGTATCTACTATACTGAGTGAACATTTTGAGTAAATTATTGTTAATATGATAAATATTATTTAGTTATATCAGTAAAATATGAAGATTAAGAGGTAACACTGTGCCATAACCAAACCATTTCATCCATCAAGATCACCATTCAGACTTAAGTCCTGCTTACTCTTTGTTTCTATGAATGAAAAAAGCAGATTACGTATTCTGTATCCATTAACACGTTCATTGTTAAACTTGGTCCTTAAAGGTTGTTCTTGTACACCCACTCTTGAGAAAAGTAAAAACTTAAACCTATACTTTATTTTTCAGGAAAATTTCAGTTCAAGCCAGAACTTTTCCAACCCATCATTCTCGAAATTTGATGTTTATCTATGTAGTATACCTTTCTTATATCTTATGACTGCCAAAGAATTCATGAAGCTGCAATAGAACATCTTATATTCCTGAATACCTCATAGGAACAACACTTTTTTGAGTCTTGCATTTATCTCTTTACTTATCAAAATTGGCCCATAAAGATTAGAAAATACTCAGCAATTATTATTAAAACTGCTTAAATGCTGTATGTGTTTAATAGAAAATGGGATATAATTTTACCACAATGATAAACTTTTTAGGCATTATAATAATAATTCTGTTATAGTAGCAAATACATATGGTGTAGCTTTTACATGTTTTAGATATTTATTTTTATGCATAATGTCTTAAGCCTAAGAAACCACTATTTTTATGATGTACAGTGTACTCTATCTCTATTATATTGAAGCATAGTACTCTGTAAGTCAGTAATTTTTCATAAAACAAGTTAATTGTTTTAGCATTGGAAACTGTAGTACAATATTTGTTACAGGATGACTCTTAGGTTACTTCATGCATTCTGTTGCTAGAACTCCTAAACCATAACAATGTTAGTGAAATTATGTATAGATTTACACATAGTCATGAGGTGCATTTTCAAGAGTGTGAAGGTTTTACCAAATGGAAGCACCAGTTCCAATATAGAGGTTATGGCAACACAATCATGTCAATTTTGAAACCAACTTTCTTGTTAAATTAATGTATAACTGTAACAGTAAATGGTAAAAGAATGGGAAAGAGTTCCATATGGCACCCCCACCCAAAAAGTGTAGAATTGCCTGGATAAAAAAGATTCTGAAAAGGGTTTATTTTAAGGGGCGTATTAGAAAAATTGGGGCATGGCTTTGACAAGCATTTGTGTGAATACATGTGGAGAACATTATATTCTGATAAAAGTAGCCTTTTTGATGCCTTTATACAAGACATTTGTAAAGTTTATCCCTAAGAAGATTGTACATCTAATTAATGAAGTAAGTGGTATAATGTATTAAAATTATCAGATCATACTATTAATATATGATTTATTAATACATAAATATTACTTTGATGAATTTTTTTTTAAATTGAGTGGGGGTGCCATATGGAACTCTTACCAAAGAATGGAGTTACCAAGATCAGTGTATTGGAATAAACCATCTTTAACATTTTGCTGAACTGGTTTAATTAATTAAAGCAAGTGTACAGAATCTTTATCACCATTCTAATTAACTGTTTCCACACATGGTAACCCATATTAAACAACAGCATATAACTGACTATTGTGGATGGCAAGAATGTTGTGCTAAATGCTGTTTGTAAGATCAACAGTCATCTGTGGACAGACATGGTACACCAATAATTTCAGATAGGTCCATAACCAGAAATCAACAGGTGTAAGATCTGATTTCTAAGTTATGCAGGAATCTCCTAGTGATCATTTGTTCACAAAAATAATTGCATAGTGGTTCTTCACATCATTGGTAATGTGGTAGTACATCATCTTGAGTGAACACTGACATGCTGATGCCTCTTTTGTGCAAGGTGGGTAGTACTGTATTAGCTAAAGTGTTGATAATATCCAACAGTTTGTAAAGTTACAATCTGTATGTTCTAAAATAAAAAAGTTTTGATGATGACTTGCTGCTAAATCCAACCCACACAGTCACCTTTAGGTCATGATGGGTGTCTTTCAATGAATGTATGTGGCTTGGTCTCATCCCAGATGATGTAATTATGGGTGTTCACTTGTCTATGAATGTGAAAATAGGCTTCATCAGTTTACAAAATGTTGTGAAGCTAATTCTTCTGAACTTGAACAATAAAGTCCACAGCAAAATTCAACCACTTCTTTTGGTTGTTATGAAGCAGTTCCTACAGTCTCCCAATATTGTATGGAAACAGCCTTAATATCTTATGGATCACCTACAAATAATCTGGTGGGGTGAGTCAGTACACCTGGCAACTTAATGGGTGCTGCATTCTGCTTTGAAATTGCCTTGTCTACTGTCCAGTGATTTCTGTAGAATTTTTAAACAACTCTCACAGGTGTAGGTGGGTGTTCTGATTGTGGTGCATTGGCCACAGATCCTGTCTCCTCAAATTTGTGAATGAGATAAAACAAGGTCCTTTGGCTACATGGTCCTAGATGAAAGACACATAAGGCCACCCCTGCATTGCCAGATCTTGTGCAGAGGAAATAACATCAAAGGTGATGTCACATAGCATAGGTGATGCCTCAGGTGTTAAACTATGCACGTTCTGGAAGTGTGTTCCCCATGACCTCATGCATATATACATGTAATTTTGCTAACCTACGTTATGGTTTGGGAGAGTTATAGTTACACTTTATATATCTATAAATATTTGCAACAGTTTACTTGAGTATTATTGATTTTGTTATTATACTTCCTTTTATGCCCAAGTTAATCAGTTTCTTATAAAGTAAGAACAATGTATCAAGTGGTTATGATTTTAAGATTTTTCTACATGTCTGTAGTAAATATTAAAGTTTTAATTTATGACAATATTTTAGCTAAATACTTGAAACAAATTAACTATATTACTGCCTTTTATATTGTACATTTTATGCATTTAAGACACTTTTATTTGGTAAATCTGATTAACATAATACAGATAACAGGGGACCATTTGGTTCTTCAAGGCTGCCCCTGCACTAACCCTTGAGAAAAGTCAAAATTTAAAACTACCCTTTACTTTTCTGGAAATCATTGATTTTCTTTTTAAACTCTCATAAAATGCAAACCTCCACTGCTTCTGCTGGAAGATGATTTCATAAGCCAATCACCTTGTTGAAAAATAAAACTTCCTCAACTGTAACCTGGATTGTTTGTTCCAAATCTTAGATCTGTAACTTCTGGTCCAGTTGCTTCAGAATATCAAGTAATGCAATCATGGACTTTCCACCCCCAGAATCATCCTAGTAGCATTCCTTTGAACCCTTTCCAATAAGTCAGTATTGTCTATACTCCTTATATCAAAATTATATTTTATACTACTGAGCTTCCTTCCACAATTGAAAAAAATACGATTTGTAAATTCATGTTCTATGAATGTAGTACAAGCCATCACTTGCATTGTTTCAGCACCTGATAACCTTAATTTATCATTTACATTTTTTTTTATTTCCTTGTAAGCTACAGGTGTTCACATAACCTACATGCACTTAATTTTATTAAGCTAACTAATTTTGATAAATGCTTCATCCTTTTCATATGGCATTTTGTGAAGCAAAAATTTAAATTCATATTTCATCTAAATAATCTTCATTTTTGTAGAAAGCTGCCAAACTCCAACCAGTGTTTCATACTTAATAAATATTCTTAAACTTCTATGATTTTACTATGATATTTATTGTAATATTTAGTAGCAAGTAACAGTCAAATGAATATTCCCTAATTAAGGGTTTCATATTTTTAATGTACATGTAATCAGTTATTTGCCCATACCATGAGATGGCATGCCATAAAATTTTGATTAATTTTCAAAATTGTTTGATAATAAATTTAAAGTGATTTGTTAGACAGAGTTAAACTTTATGCCCTGTATCTAATAGTTAAACAAAATGTTTATATGTCATTTTCATTATATTGTGTGCAAAAACAGATTATTTTGTATGGATTCATTGAGTTTGTAACAATAAGTATAGTATATTTGAGTAGAATAGTCACATTTGTATGAGTCCATGTTAATGATGACAAATCTGTAAAATTTTATTTTATGGTTGTATGTTTTAGGTTTCTTTTATGGATTTCTATAAAGAAGCCTGAAGGAAGTGCACCAGAATTGTGAAGCTTTCAGTGATATTTTTCAGTTTTGTGACAGAATTCACCTGCCATACTTAATGTGTATATCTTAA